TTAAATATTAAAAAAACATTTTACAATTTCTTTTCTAAAATTTGAAATGTTCTGTGGATTATTGTGGTTTTTTGTCTTTATGCAGTTATTTCTTTAGTTGAAAACTTTTTTTGTTAAATTTCCTTCAGTTCAAAGTAAGCTTTCTATGAGCAGGTCTTATAATATCAGTGATATGGTGATTGACTCTTATTCTAGTTATAATATAATAAAAAGTTTTCAATACCTCTTGATTAGATGGAGGGGAACCAAGTAATAACAATAATGGTAGCATAGTAATCGAGAATTTTTAGGATTTACCAAAGAACAAAAGTTCAAATGGACATGTAGAGATTTAAATAATAATAACTACGATATTAATGGTAATAATATTATATTCGTTTAAAAAAACTTTGATTGGTTTAATAACATTACAAAGTTTCTCAATCCATCAGATCCTGAAATAAGGAACATGTTCTGTATTGATATATACCCCTTCGCATAATACACCACTAATGTGCCTTGTTATAAATATAGTATGTTGCGAAAAAAATGGCACTGATGAAGAATAGCATATCTCAACAACTACAAAAGGTAATTTAATAAAATTACATTCATTTAAAAGCTTATTGAATAGTTTGTTAAATAAAAAAAATTTGTTATGAATTACTATTACCATTTTTTTGTAAAGTTGATTCGCATCTTTTTTTTAGATGTCACTAAATTTTTTGACTTCCACCAAAAAGTATTAGACATCTCAAGGGTAACAATTGAATAAAAACGTACATAATAATAACAAAAAAAAATACAGCCATTTTGCAGCTCAAGTTCTAAGATTATTTATATAAAATCCCATGCTTCCAAATTTTCTAGAATTTTATCAATTAAAGTAAATTCAATTATTTTTGGAAAAAGAAATTTAATATAATAATTGCTCTAAAGCCTACATAATGGTGCATTTCAAAATTTCTATATGTGGTAATTCAAGATTGTCTGATACTTTGATATAATTTTACATTACTTTAGTTAGAATGCAGGTGCCATTTTTTTTCGCAACACACTGTATAATGTTTATTTGTATTAATTGGTCTCAGGGCAAATAAAACTGGTAAAACAATTAATCCTCTTACAAACTTTCATACAATCCTCTGGAAATAGATGCACATCTGAAGTAAAAGAATAAATTCCACTACAACGCAAATGGGTATTCATTGCCTTTAAGATACAATAAAAAACGTCATTATTCGTGAATGCATAATTAACAAATGGAATCTATGCTGTTTTGGAGTAACAGGTCCACAGACTATATTGGACTTTTACTCATCCATAGAAAATGAAAAAAAAAGAATTTGTGAATCCCTCCTCCCTTTCCTCCATCCTATTGGTATATAGTAAAATTAGATATAGTGCATATCATTCATTAAACTCTCTTATCTAAGTATTGAGGAGGTCTTGAGAAAAGGTTTTCATTTGCATATATAAAGGCTATGAAAAACATTAAAAATTTGTCAATATGCTATTATTATTATTATGAATATTGCATATTTTCCAAGAATATTATAAGATAAAAAAAATCATTATTATTTTTTAAAATCAATTTACTAATATTTCCAATCCTACGTATGATAAGAATAGGAGCAGATCTAAATATCGATGATAGTATCGTCCTAATAATCCAGGTGGTGCATGTTGAGGCAGATGGAGACCTTTTTAAAGTTTGCGCTTAATTGTGCATATGCTGCAATCCCTGAAGCAGAAAGTAAATTTTGTGTGCAAATATAATTAAACACTTATTATTAACCGATTTACCATAACTCTTACTTAATGCATACCTTTTACCCTTGCAATTATGTTATGAAGGTCAAAAAAAAAATTTTTTTTTGCAAGATACGTCTTATTTTTTTATCTCATGTTCCCAAAAAAAATATATTTTAATAAATAATTTATAATACAATATATATATATATATTCAAAAAAGAAAAAAAAAATCTAATGTTCTCATTCCCAAAAGAAATTAACCTCCCAAACTGAATTTAAAAAAAATAATTATACAATTAAAAAAAAATTATATATATATAAATTAAATCATTATTGTGGAAGTTATATCAAATTTTCTTTTTAATTTAAACAAAAATGTGGGAGCTTCATTTTACTTGGTATTTTGCGAAGATAATTAATGGTCTTCTTTTTCAAGCTTAGATAATAATTCATCAACATCATGGTCAACATGATCATTTGGGTTCATTTTAGATAATCTTGTTGCAGTTCGTAAACTTAAAATTTCATTTTTAAATAATGGACTTTGGAAACTTCCCTCTTCACTACTGCGTGAATCACTTTTTGCAGCAGCATTAATAGCAGCGATTATATCAGAACTTGGAGAGGTTGTAGTTGTAAATTTTGTAGGAGTTACATCACCTGATTCAGTAATTGAGTTCAATTGAGTATCAATTTTTGGTCGTGTGCTGCCAATATGTGAACTTCCAGTACTGCTGGAACGTGAAGGCGTATATATACTAGAGGTTGCAATAGATGATGCTTTAAATCTATCATCATTAGCTTGCATTAATTGTAAATATGATGAATCTGATCCATCATTATTTGATGATGTTATATTATCATTGCTGTTATTATCATCATTGTCATTGTCATTTTCTTCATAGTTTAAAGTAGATGATGGGTAAGAAAATATTGGAGATTGTGAGCGTGGCTGATAAGGATTATCAAGATAATCATCAACACTTCTAGAAGCATCATTTGGATCATCAATAGTGAGTTTATTACTATCAAAACTATTTTTATTTTTTAATGTAGATGGTAGTGTTAAAGATGGTAGTGTTAAAGATGGTAGTTGATAAGGATTGCCAAGATAGTCGTCAATACTAAATTGTTTTCGAGGAGGATTTCGATGAACATCATTCGGATCAACAATAGTGAGTTTACTACTATCAGAACTATTTTTATTTTTTAATGTAGATGGTGGTAATAAAGGTGGTGGTGGGACTGGCAATGATGATGTTGAACGGTCTGGTGTGTTTTTGTTTGATGTTAAATAATTGGGTGATTGATTAAACAGTAGATTACCAGTTAATGGTGGTGAATAAGGCTGATTTAATCCATAAGGTGTTGTGAAATATGAGTTATGCCTTTTTTCTTTCCTTTTACATACATAAATGATTAAACCAATAATTAACAAAACTACTATAAATGCTGCTCCAGAAATTATTCCTATAATATATATTGGTAATGGTGGTGATGATGATGATGATGAATCATCTTGTCCAGAATTTGAAGAATTTGTTGAGGGACTTGGATCTAATGATGATGATGATGATGATGATGATGATGATAATGATGATGATGATGATGATGATGATGTAGCAGAAGTATCTGTAGAAGTTTGTGATGGTTCTGGTGTCATAGAAGTTGAAGGTTGTATTGGAATATTAGGTGTGTATGTTCCCAACCATTTATAAGTTAAGGAATCAAGTATAAATATATTTGATTCTGGATTAATAATTCCAACTTTCTAATATAAAATAAACATTTTTTTTTAAAAATATATATAAATAGATATATATAAATAACGTAACATTTTACTCACCATAAATCCTATGTAATAATTTGTTTAAAAAAAGTTGTTGAAATTAATAAATAACTCAACTAATAAATTAATTTTCTGACAATTATTATAATTATTTACCATATGTAATTATAATATTAGTTCCAACCATTGTCATTGTATGATCAAACAATGCTGGTGGTTTATCTATTCCTCCAGTTTGGATAATTTTCCATGTCAGTGTAGTTGTATCAAGTTCTAACACATCATCATAAATAATTGATGCATCAGCATTACGACCACCATAAATAATAATTTTCTTGTTTATTGCTAATGATAAGCAGGAAGAAAGATATATGTTTTGATAGATATGCATGTAAATAATCAATTAATTTTGCTACAAAGATATTTAATATTTGAAAACTTACTTCCAACAGCTCGATGACCTCTTCTTTGAGGAGGATTATCACCTAAAACAGTCTAAACATTTAAAATAAAATTATTTAAATAAATTATTTAAATTTAATAATTAAATTTAATAGTTATAATTATAATGTAATGTAAAAATATTTAACCTTAGTGGACCAACTATTTAGATTAGTGTCATAAATATTAATTACATTCATTGGCAATAGAGAAAGGCCTGTAACAGTCACCACATTATTAATACCACCAATAACATAAATGAGATCATCACTTAGTAAAGTTGAAGTATGATGAGAAATTCCATTTGCAAATGTTGATACTGTAAATACATCTGTTAATGAATCATACACACATAACGTATTTAATGCATCACTGACTTCAGTATTTCCAGCGACAGGTATGGAGGATCCACCTAATATAAAAACTTTTGAATCATATTTGGTGACTGAAGTGTGTAGCACACGACTAGTACATTCTGTTGTAACTGCTTTAGAAGCTAATGACTTTGACTTGCTTGTTGTATCAAAAATATATAATGGATTTGGGGGTGCATTCCCACCTGACATACCACCAAATATTATTAATGAATTGTTATTTTGACCTCCAATTGACATACTGTGAAATGCAATAAGATTATCTGCTGTTAATAGATTCCATGCTGGATTTTTTAGATCAAAGTTTACTGATACATCCAAATACAATATCTCAGTTGTGTCAATGCCATCAATAAACTCATCAATACTCTGATCATCAACTACAGGTAATAATCTACCTCCATAAACATACAAACTTTTTTTGAAAGAGAAATAATTAAAAAATATTTTTGAAAATAATTTTTCAAGTGTATGTATTTAACTTACTATTTTTCACCCACTAATGTAGCTGCATGACCCCTATTATTATTATTTTATCATCATTATCATGATTGTTATTATTATTGTTATAAATAAAATATTATCTTGTCACTTACCATCTTTTTGTAACCGGATCACAATTGACCAATAAAGAACCATTTAACAAAATTATTGATAAAATAACGATAAAATATTTTATCAATAATGATTTATTAAATAGATTATAATCAATTTTAAAAATCATATTAATATTCGTTATCATTGTGATTATTATTATATTATTAGGAAATTAATATGGTTAGTTTCTTTAAAAAATTATATTTACAAAAAATACATATTATAAATATATTTAAATTTTTAAATATTAAAAAATCCAAATTAGTTTTTTTTATAAATTTATTATTCACTTTACTGATTTATATTTATTTTTTTGATGAATCACATGTTATACAAATTCAATTCTGTCCTAAAAATAGTCATACGAATATTAATTATCAATATGGAGATATTAATCTGAAATTGTAGTTTCAAATTATCAAATCATTCATTTTCGTTTAAATCATTTAAATCAAAGATGAACTTATTATTATTATTATGTTTTTATTTTGTTGACAAAACAAAACATATTAAAAAATGTGATCTTCAATAGAACCTAAATAGTTATATTAATTCGTATAAGATCGACAGGGCCAAGTTTTTTCACAAAACCCATAATTTACTATCTCGTGGTGTCCTTGTACCAAAACAACTATACCATATAGTATAGGAATGAAAAGTTGAAGTCAAGCTCAATAATGTTTTTTAGTTCATGTTGTTAAACAGATTCAAACAGACAGATTCAAAACCTTGTTTTGTTATGAGGTAGGCGAAGAATCCGTAACTTGTGAAACAGCTTCTGCTGCAATTAATATGTATAAAAAAATTACTAATAAGACAGGAATAGAATGATCCTAATATTTTTAGAATTATTGGGGAGATGTTACAAATATGTTGATTGTCAACAATGCAGGTATAAGTTTTACCTGGATCCCATGCAAAAATGTCAGGCTCGACAGGCAAAATAAAATAGAATTATCAATGTAAAAATTAGCTTAATTTTATAATACAATCAATAAATATAATATAAATAAAAAAATAAATGATTCTAATAAAAACGAATTTTAATTTATATTTTAGAAATAAGATAAGATAATTTTTGAATTATTATTATTTGTGGCTGTGAAAAAAATATATTCCAGCTTCCTCAGTCACTCTCTAAACTAATACTTCACCATATCCAATCTTTTCTCTAATGTAGTAGAATTAGTAACGCTTACTAATAATAGTCGCATCATTTTTTTTGAAAGCCAAGAAATAAACTAGTTATTTCCTGTGCAACAGAATATAACTATGGAAAACCCTTGTATATACCCTGCTTCGCAGGAAATAAAATTGAAAATACCCAATTATTAGCCCCAACCACTCGAATTAACTTTTTGACGAAACTAGACGATGTTGGAAAAGTTGAAGAAAGTCAAGTTGATAAAAAATGAGATTCCAAAACTCCAAACTATCCGTAGGTGAATAATTACTGCAATGAAAAACGCCAATAGAACATTGTCAGCCCAATTATAGAAAATCGATCAACATAACGACTGCCTACATATTTTTTTTTTTATAGATTTTTTTTTTGCATGTTGTATAACAATTCCACAAACACAATTACGTTTCAAATTTTTTGATCTTGTATATATTAGCATTAGCGTTAGTATTGAAACGTCTGGTTTTTTGCTAATTCGAATTACCATCATTGTTATTAATTATTTCTATATATGTTGGCCGAATTGATTTCAATCCTCCAATAAAATTGCGGCGTGTGTTTTTATGATTAATTTTTCTAATTTGCTTCTTTTTTTTATTTTTATATATTTAAAATTTCTTTTGAAGTTGTTTTTTTTAACCATAAAAATCATATAGTTGTATAAAAGGATATTTTACTCAACCCAACAGCATAACTGTCTTACCATTGGGTATTCTTTATATTACTAATTTGAATTACTGGTTATCATTGTAAAATTAGCAAGTTTTTAAATATGAATGACTAATGTATATATATGTCTATGCAAAAAAACCTTCTTGTTATTGTTGTATGTGAAGTTGAAAACCACAACTATAATATGAAATTCCGATTGGCTAATTTTAAATTTCTCATATGTTTAATTGTAAATTCATTTTCACGCACAACATTGCCAAAGAAAGATAAAAATAAAAAAAGGAATCTTTCAATGTCTTTATAAATGATGTAGTAACAGGTGATAGATCTGCCATAAGGTTCATCACATATAAATTTTCTTTGTTGTAAGTAAGCAGTCTAAACATTTAAAAATAAAAATATTTAAATAACTATTTAAATATAATATTTATAATTATGAATGATTACAATGTAATGAATGTAATGTAAAAACATTTAACCTTTGGGCGATAGAACAAAGCCGTATCAACCCCATTAGAAGTACCACCACCAATCACATAATGAGATCATCACTTAGTAAAGTTGAAGTATGATGAGAAATTCCTTTTGGAAAAACATTTTTAGTATTGGTAGCGAAATTTAAATGTGTCTGTTAATAAATCATAAACACATAACGTATTTAATGCGTCACTGACATCAATACTTCCAGCGACAGGTATATTTGGTGACTGAAGTGTGTAGCACATGACTAGTAAATTCTGGTATAACTTCTTTAAAAGTTATATAATAACTTTGACTTGCTTGTTGTATCAAAAATATATAATGGATTTGGAGGTGCTTCCCCATTTGATGTGCCACCAAACATTGTTGTTTTGGCCTCCAATTGAAATTCTGGTGTTAATGGATTCCATATTGGATTTTTTTGGATCAAAGTCCATACAAGTACAATATATCACTTGTGTCAGTACCAGTATTAAAATTAAAACCAGCTCCATATAACTTTTTTTGAAAAGAAATAATTAAACAAAAAAATAATTTTTGAAATGTATTTTATTTACTATTTTTCGTCCACTAGTGTAGCTGTATTACCCCTATTGTTATCATCATTCATCATTATTATTATAAATAAAATATTATCTAGTCACTTACCATCTTTTTTTGCAATAAAGAACCGTTTAACAAAAATTGTTGATAAAATAATGATAAATATTTTATTTTAAAAATCATAATATTCATTATCATTGTGATTATTATTATATTATTAGGATATCAATATGATTAGTTTCTTTAAAAAACTGTATTTACAAAAAATAGATATTATAAATATATTTAAATTTTAAATATTAAAAAAATCCAAATTAGTTTTTGAATGTTCATACAGTTGTGCCTGTCTATTTACATAAGATCCTAATTGACAAATCAGCAAATGGTTTGTTATCTGTTTTGTAAAACACCTTTTCTAAAAAATCAATTACTTTGCCACCTGATCTTAAGATATTCTTTTATTGATTATCAAATTCTCCAATCCCAATTAATGTAAAATCAAAATGAACCCCAAAAAATTTGGCCATGTCTCTCTTGTTCATTGTAATTCACTGGAGATGATACTTCCTAAATACTTTAATAGATGATTCGATGTTTGGTTGCATAACATTTTGATATGGGGGTCAAATGAGTCAAATCTATTGCAGTTGCAAAAATTTGATTAATAAAGCCAAGAGTATTTTGCAAATTTAAATTGCCCTCTATAGCATCAACTTTTTGATTAAATGAATAAAAAACTTGCAATTATGTTTAAGTGATTTTGTTATACAGATAGCAGAAAACTTGACAATATTTGATTTGGTATTATTTCTTCTTGCAGTTTCCTGGGATTTTTTGCCATTCCTATAAAAATTGAATAAAGACATTATCATATTTTGTGAATAAGATTAATAAAATGACAATTAAAACTCCAATCTGAAACCGAATCGAAAATTTGGTTTTTCGGTTTACATTTGATCCAAATATCTAGACATCCTAAACTCATCAACTATGCAAAAATATACATAATAACTTCACCAAAAATAATAATAACTTGTAGCTTAGTTTCAGTGAATGTGTGTTGCAAATAGTGTTCCATGTCGCAATCCAAAAAAGGAAACAAAATAGTTGTAAAGGTGGTTGCAACCAGTGGTTGCAATCATTTTTATATGACGCAAAGATGGTAGCAACCATCATCAAAAGTTGCAGCCGGTATCCTTAGTTTCAAAGTAGAGATGCTGGAAGGATCCTGTTTCTAAATGCATACAGTCAAGCCTCGTTATAACAGGCCCTCATTGTAACGGATTTACTAGTACTAGTCAGTGTTTTTATATATTAATATGGAGCAAAAATGTTAAAAGTTCGTTATAACACGTATTTAATTATGTTACACTTCGTTATAACGAGATACAACTGTAGTAATTTTTATACCATGGCAACGAAGGCCCATTTCTTACCAAAATTAGAATGGAAACTATGATTGAATTTTATTCATCTCATACAAAGTACCATGTTTAGATACAACTGGTCAGTTATAGGCAGGATTATACTTGTCGTCGGAATTCTCAGATAGAAATAATACGGTTACGGCATGTGCCGTATTATTTGCCGTAAATAACGTAAAAACTGTAATGCCGTAATGCCGTAAAAGACAAATTTAATAGTGTATTAGTAATAGCATTATACTAATATCTATCATAATATCAATATACAAATTTTTATTAATCAAAATTTAAACACTAAGATTTGTTTGGGTACTGAAGTAAAAATTAAATATACATATATATTTATATTATTAAAATAATAAACATTCTAATTCTCCAATAAAAAATTTACTCATTACTCTAACAAAATTGCTTCAAAATTCATCAATAGCTATAATAATAAATATAAATTAAATAAAAATATCAAGATAAATTTAATACAATATTTAATAATCTACCCAAACTTAATACCTAATGTTAAATTATCTTCATTTTTAAGCTCCTCATTAATTTTATTCAACACTGATGAGATTTCTTTATTCAAAATAATAGTTGAGAGGGTGGTTTTTCCCGGAGGATTATATTCAAAACACAGACTTTTTACAAAATCCACAAAGAAAGGATGGCTTACAGTAGAAAATGGGATACCACACTATATAAAAATCGAACTTAAAATAAATGAATAGATGAGTAAGTCAATTGACAAATATATTATATAATATACATCTATATATAACTATTTACCTAATGCTTGATTGATTCTCTCTCTCTTATTTGCATCAACTTCTGCAGAAGAATCAAAATAATTGGTGATTGATGAATTAGACGAATTTACTCTTTGCATTTTATTAAGAGGCGAAGGTTGCTCTGCTAGTATTTTCATGTATTCAAATTTTACATCAGTTAGTACCGCACAACAATGCAAAGCTAGATTCCCTTTTAAAATTTCAGGTTTCCTCCTAGGCCAAGCTTCTGTACAATAACGACATTTAGCAGAGAAGTGACTATTTTCTTTAATAAAATGGTCACAAACCATTGATTCTTCACGACCCTTTTGTTTCTTTGACTATTACTTGTTATAACTGACCTAACAGAGCTTATGGAACTCATTTTTTCCTTTAATAATTAAAACATATTATTATGGTTGCCATTAACAACTATTTTGCATTTGAGGAATTGATAAAAAATTATTCATACCACTATTAGAATTCTTATCTTTATATTTAATTAATTACTCTGAAGGAATGCAAAAATTTTTTTTATCTATATATTTTATTTAGAGAAATTTTGTATTATTATTATGGTATTTATTTACGGTATTATGACATTTACGGCATTACGGCATTACGGCATTGCGGCATGCGGCATTTACGACTTTAGGGTCTCATGCCGAAATTTATTTACGGCTTATACGTAATGCCTAATTTGCCGTAATTCGGGAATTCCGACGACAAGTATAGGCAGGATATTTAGTTAACTCTTTATGTTGGGCAACCTCAATTTTGTATTGACATTTTTTGGCTGTTACGTCATAATTATAATGTAATAATAAATTGAGTAGTCAATAATATCAGAATTGGAAATGTTGGTGACAGATTAAATTTGTGAGTACTCCGGCAACACGGAGCACTCAAAACCAATCAGGCATCTTCCACGACCAATTTCCGTTCAATCTACCAATAGTTTCATCTTTATATAAAATACTGTTGAAAATGTAATTTTCCCCTCTTGGCTAGCTAGATATTCTGTCATTTTTCTTGTAAATGGATCTTTCAAATTGCTGATTATTTATATGGTTGGTGAACCCATAAAATAAAAAGACAGGAAGGACATTCCTAAAGTCTTTTATTTGTGGGCAAACCTCTGATCCATAAGCACATTCATGCTAACCTAGTTCTCATTAATAATACTTGATAAGAATGCCAAACTTAATGATTATATTTTAACAATGAAGAATTCCAAAAGCAATTAAAAGAAAATAATTCACTATCTAAAATGAAATCCTATCAACAAAGTGAAAGCAAGCCAGAAAGATGAAAATTAAACCCTTATTGAATTTATACTTTTGGGTTAATTACTCCAATTATCCTGTATGTAAGTCATTGAATAATTGGAACGAAAGAGCCATCCAAATTAGTCAAGTTTATCAAGACCCCAAAGTTGAACAATTCCTCGCTGGCTTTCAAATGACTTTGGTAAAACCTTGGTAGTACATTGAAGCCAACCAATCATGTTTTGAATACGTGATCTAGCTTTGACTGATGCGGATCATAATCTAAAGATGCATCAAAAATCAAAATATAAAATCTAATGGCACAATCTATTGAAGTCGTAATTTCTTTTGCTTCCCTACTAAATTGTCATGTAAATTTACCACCTGTGTTCTCTGCAATTCTTTATGAAAATGATAAGGTATTGAATTATCCATTTTATATTGTACCATTTACAAAAAAAACCATTAACAACATCCAATGATTCATTCATCATTTTCTTTTTTTTTTTAAATCAATTTTAAAGCTTCCGCAAAATGTTATCCTGGAAATATCATGGTTAGAAACTAAAGTTAAACAACATAAAGCTTATGTTGGTTGGTCAGGGGGAGCTTCAAGATCGTCGAATGTTCAAAAATTAGGAATTGTGGAAATCGATCCACAATTTGGAACAGCAATTGGTTTGAAGGATGGTCAAAAGGTTAGCAAAATTTAAAAAAATGAATTCTTTATCAAAATCAATTTTTGAGTTGTATTAATATAAATATAAATATGTGTGTGTAAAGGTTTCAATTAAAATATGTGAAAATATTCAAGATGCAAAATCAGTTTTTGTTGAGCCATGTACTATCGAAGATTGGGAAATAGTGGTAAAGTAATCAAAAATAATTATTGAGAGTTTGAATTTATTGTTTGTTATTATTAGCAGTATTGACTTTAGTAAATACTTGTATATTGTTAGGATCATCGAGCTGGTTATTTGGAAAATTATTTTATTCAACAATTACATGTTGTATATCCTAATCAAATTATTACTCTTTGGATCAATTCAAATCTAACACAATTAAAAATTGGTAACACACATATATACATGCATACATTATATACTAATTCATTAATTTGATACTCACTAATTATATAATACTCTCTAGTTGAAATAAATCCTAAATGTTCCTTTGCAAAATTAAGTTCCAAGACAGAAGTTTATGTTACACCTAAACCACGTAAACCATTAAAACCTTCAGAAACAAATGATACCATCAAATCAGATGACAATACATCATCATCATTACCATCAATATATTGTCTAAGAGTTTTGCCTATTGAATATTTAGTTGAATCATCAAAGAGTTTGCTAGATGGTTATGATGATAGATTTTGTACTGTTAATGTTCATCCATCAGATTTCGCAATTTTAGGATTACAAACAACACAAGCAGTAGTTTGTCTATCTAAAGTTAAACCAAATTATCTAACAAAAGATACAGCAACAACAGCAGATGATTCTAAAGATATTGAAAATAAAAATCATCTTGTTCAAAAATTATTTGTTAAAGTTTTGATAAATTTTAATGTAACACCAGGTCATGTTGCTGTTGGTGAGTATATCAGAGATTATTTAGACTGTGAACATTTTTCTATTGTCAGGTAAAATTAAAAAATCAATTAAAAAATAATAGAGATAAAAATATTATTAATTTTTAGTGGCAATAATCAATTAAAATTACCATTATCATACTACTTAAATCATTAATTTAGATTAACTCCAGCACATTCAAATTTTACTTCTATTTCAACTATAAACATCCATAATACCTCAAATCAAATATTTCCAAAAATTCATCAAAATGGAAGGTAATTAATAAATCTTTATTTTTATATTTCTAATCAATATATTATTAACAAACCATCAAAACAGTAAGTTAATAAAATATCTAAATAAAGAAATTAATAAATAAGTAACAATTATTATTATTATATTGTGAATCTATTAGATCATCAATTGAATTTATTTCAAATCTAGCTGGCGTTTCAAATTTATCTGAGAAACTAGAAGACTATTTAAGATCTTGTTTAGGAAAAGCATTTTTGAGAAGTTCATTAAACATTCCAGGTATTATAATTATATTATTTATTCCAATAAGTTATTATTTCATTTTTTAATAAAAAATTGAAATTTATTTATATTAGTAATTGGTGGATTGTTATTATGTGGAAGTCGTGGATCAGGCAAAACTAGTATTGCTAAGAATATTTTATATAATTTACAAAGAGATTTAAAAACTTTAGCATGTAGTTATTAAATATATATATTCATTTATTTATTTATTTTGATAAATTAATAATAATTAACAATTACGTATATAAATTATATTGATAGATGTTTTGACTGTCAAATGTACTGAACATACAGAAGAGCGTATATCAACATTAAGAGAAAAACTTCAATTGTGGTTTGATGATGCAGCATGGCATGCTCCCAGTATTATTTTATTTGATGATATTGATCGATTAATTCCTGCTGAAGTTGAAGTATTTGTTAATTTATAATCATGATTGCATATATTGTTGACATGATAAATATAATTAATACTTACTATTTTATTTAGCATGTTGATTCTTTTAGATTTCGTCAAATTGCTGAATGTTTTTTTCAGATTGCATCAAAGATGATAAAAAGACATCAAATTTCTATTTTTGCTACTGCCCAACAACAAGAATCTGTTCATAAACTATTAATTACAACACATTTATTTAGTGAGATTAAACTTTTAAATCCACCAACTAAAATTGAAAGACGTGATGTAAGTATAACAAATAAATAATGATAGCATCATCATAATTAAAAAGTCATTAAAATAATAATTTTTAGATTCTTGAAGCAATAATGTCATCAGGTCCAACATCACTGCAAAAAAGTGTTTCCAGTCTAGATTTACTTTCAATAGCTAGTGATTGTGAAGGTTATTTAGCTGCTGATCTTAAAGCTTTGGTTGAACGAGCAATACATGAAGGTGCTACAAAAAAGTTGTATGACGATGTTGATGTTGAAAATGCAGATGATGGTGGAAATGTGAAGGATTTTTTTTTATTAACTCAAGATGATTTTCAAAAAGCACATGAAGGCTTTGTTCCAATTTCACTTCGAGGTGTTAAATTACATACATCTGATGTTAGTTGGGCTGATATTGGTGGTATGTTGAGAGTTTTCTTTAAATTTTTTTTTAAAAAAAAAGAGTTATGGATATATGTTTATAAAATAATAATATTAATAACAATATATATAGGCTTAGAGGAAACCAAAAATGTGTTATTAGAAACTTTAGAATGGCCAACAAAATATGCATCAATATTTGCAAATTGTCCACTAAGACTAAGATCTGGGTAATTAATTAGTATTTTTTATAATAAAAGTATTAATTATTATTATAATAATAAAAAATTATATTAGTTTGCTTTTATATGGGTTTCCTGGTTGTGGTAAAACATTATTGGCATCGGCTGTCGCAAAAGAGTGTGGACTTAATTTTATTAGTGTAAAAGGACCTGAATTATTAAACAAATATATAGGAGCTAGTGAAAAATCGGTAAATGTTGCCCTTTTGTTTTATTTGAGAGATTTCTATGAATTTAATTCTGGTTGACATATATTGATTGATTGATTGATTTTATTTGTATCTGTTGTAAATATTATTTTTAGGTGAGAGATTTGTTTGATAGAGCACAAGCTGCTAAACCATGTGTTTTATTTTTTGATGAATTTGATTCTATAGCTCCTAAAAGGTCTGAAATTAAATGATAATTAGATATATTAATTAACTAAATATAAGTTATTAAACCACCAGAGAAATTGCATAAGTAATCTATACAATAATAATTTATTTTTTCTTTCATTACTATTATTTGTTATTATCATTATCTAGAGGTCATGATAGTACAGGTGTCACTGATAGAGTAGTAAATCAAATGTTAACTCAAATGGATGGTGCGGAAGGTTTAGAAGGTGTTTACGTACTTGCAGCAACAAGGTAATGCATATTGATATTGATGATAATGATTATTAGTTTATATATATATATTATTATTTATAAATTTAATTAATTACCATATATAGTCGACCAGATCTTATTGATCCTGCTTTATTGAGACCAGGTCGTCTTGACAAATCATTACTTTGTAACATGCCAACACAAAAAGAAAGATTTGATGTACATTTATATTTTTTAAAAATTTTGTATTTTTTTTTATTTCAATTGTGACTTTCTTCATTTTCTTTTAAAAAATTGTTTTTTTTCTTGAAAGATATTAAAAGCTTTATCACGTAAAATGGAATTAAGTGAAGATGTTGACTTGGACGAATATTCAAAAAAATGTGAACATTATTCTGGTGCAGATTTACAGGCATTGTTATATAATGCACATCTTGAAGCAATTCATGACATCATAAATGCTGAAAGAAGTTCGCGGGAAAAAACTAATAATAATAACAACAATACTTCAATAGCAACAACAACTTCAGTACTGGAAGGTTCTGATGAAATAGATACAACAAAATTCGTATCGTTTAATGTAAATTCTATAAATTCTGCTAATACTTTATCATTAACTGCAGCAGAAAAAACAAATATGTCTCATATGGTAAAAAAATTTTTTTTTTTGGAAATATAGTGATATTATTATGATGTTGTTAATAATAGATATTGCTGCTTTTTTTAGATTTCACAAATTAAGAAAGGATTTGGATTTAAAAAAATTTCAGATAATGAAAATAATGATGATAATACGATTAATAATAATATTTCAAAAAATAAATCAGTATGTAACAACAATATTTTATGGAATACTTTTTCTCTAAAGTCTTAACTAAAATTTCATAAAAGGATCATTAATATCATTATCTTTTTCAATTTTAGCTTAAAATTACAGATAGACACATGCAAATATCATTTAAAATGACAAAACCTTCAACAACACCCCAGGAATATATAAGATTGGCTGAAATGTAAGAACATTGTTGATTGATTTATAAATTTTATTTTATTTTAATGTGTAATTTTTAACCTATTTATTGATAAATATATGATAGATATCATGAATTTGTTACCGGAAGAAATGGTGAAATGCCAAGTGGAATAGCAAGTCATGAAATTGGCCAAAGAGCTACTTTATGTTAAAACTTCTAATTCATTTTTAAATAATTTGAATTCTTTAAATATTTAATTTTTGAAATATATTATTTTGCAACAAGTGTTAAATACTTTAAAATTATATATGTATATAATTATATATAAATATAATTAATTGTCTTTAAATTATTATAATATTTATCTATGTACAATTATTTACCTTTTTTTTGAAAAATAAACATAAATTAGATGTTTATTATTATTTATAATTAATCAATCAATTGTCATCATCATTATTTACTATCACCCTGTTCATCAATATTGATAAGTACACCACTTTGACTTGTTAATGCTATAAAAAAAAATGAAAGCGTTGATTTATTTGAAAAGAGATAACATCACACACATACAATATGTATGTGTTTGATGACAATAATTATTAAAAATTAATTTATTTTTTTGGATGAAGCAATTAAATTGCTTGAGCTTGGATTTTTGGAACAAACAGACGAAATATTTGCTTGTACATAGATAGTACAGGTACATGGCTAGGGATGGGTGAGGTTGAAGACATAAGGCTGTGTATTCATGGTGACTCTGGGAATTATGGCTTGGAGAGGGGATAACTCAATGAAGAGAGAACATTGTTTCAAACTCACTCATCCACTAATGACAATAAAAAAATGTTAAAACATATAAATGTTGAATTATAAAAATTAATACGGAATTAGAGCAACGAATTGGCGTTAACTCTAATTCTGGTAACAGTAATAAAAATACGTAGTAAAAGAATTCATTATGATTCATGCCAACAACATACCATAACTTTCAAGGATTTGTCAATGCTAAAAAAGCTATTTGCAAATGTGATCAAATTTATTCCTATAGTGCAAGACACCTAGTCCCACAACTTTTTATTGGCCTTGTAGATCCTTCTCTAACTCCAAAAATGGAAATGTA